AGAAATACTCAAGTGTCTATAAATGGATAAACAAAATGTGGTCTATACATACAGTGGAATAAGCATTCCACTTACTCATCCATAAAAAAGAAATGAAGTTCTACTATATGCCGCAACATATACCAGAAAACCCTGCGCTAAGAGAAATAAACCGGACCCCAAAGGACAAATATTTTATGATTTAAGTTATACGAGGTACCTAGAATAGTCAAATTCCTAGAGATAGAAAGTAGAATGGTGGTTGCCAGGGACTACGGGGAGGGGAGAATAGGGAACTACTGGTTAACAGTGATAAAATTTCTGTCGTAGACGATGAAAAAGTTGTGGCAGTAGACTGTGGTGATGGGTGCACAGCACTGTCGATGTACTTAATGCTACTGAACTGAACACTTAAACATGCTTATAATGATAACTTTTAAATTATGTATACTTTACTACAATTAGAAAGAAAAAACAAACCAGTACTGTTCTGTCGATGAATTTCTATCGGGTAAAGACAACTGAGTTAACATGTAAAAAAGACAACTGAGTTAACATGTAAAAAGAGACACTCCTTTTCAGATCCAGGTGGCAGTTGGGAACTGCAAGACGAAATCGCAAGGCTAAAATTGTGCAGGCGAAGTGGCCAAGGTGCTCAAAGAGAAAGTGAACTTACATTGCAGTTTGACGAGCCATCGAATGTGGGGTAAGAACCGTCTGGCCAGTCGGCAGGGTCCAACGCCGCTGACTGCCGGTGCTGGGCCTCATACTCCTTGAGCTGTCACAAGAGGAAAGGGAAGATTGAAATGGAAATAATGGCCAACACTGTCTACTACGCAGCAAAGGGAATGCTTTGGTCACCTTCTTCATGCCACTGTCGGTGACAAAGGGCCACCAAAGACAAAGTTCTCAAAACCAAAGGAAGATCCATGCCCTGCCCTACTGATTTTCGTCCAAATCAAACCAACAGACACAGCAGACTCTTTATTCTATATTCCAAAAAGAACCTTGATCTCCCCACAACATCAAAACCCATCTTGCACAGTTGGCTTGTAAGTTCTAAAACGGAAATTGTCTGTAGTTTGGCTCCTGAATTACCTCTCTTTGTAGGAGACACGATGTGGTAGACTATGAACATTTTAGTAAAATAGAGGTGGAAGCCTGAAACTGACTTATAAAAATCACTTGCTTTTCTTGTTCTAGACTGCTTCAAGTTACCAGTTCAATGTTATCACCCAATAAACGTTATGGGATGTATTAGGGACCATGTGGGTAAAAGGAAAATATCAAGGTATCTAGAATATGTTCAGAGACATTTAAAGTGGGGGTTTAGAGACTAGGTTTCCACTTTTTGGAAAACACAAAGACGAGTGAAATATTACAGAATATTAGCAAATTTAATGTAGCAGAATTAGATGAAAGATCTTTCCCGATGGCAGATATGAGAAGTTCCAGGTGGAAATTTAACCCTGCTACATAATACAATGAAGCTGCCGCTGCATCAGAATTCTACTATACAGCAATTTTTAAATATATATTTAAGATCTGATCAAATCATGCTTCACAAATGAAGCCACCAAAAAACAGAAATGATCAGACCTGACAGCCCAGGAGGTGGTGTTGGAACTGTCCTTAACCACTGGAGCTATGCAGATGTGGCAAAGCCACTACATTGACAATGTCCCTCTAGCAACTTTCCAAGGGACTACTTCTACTATGAAATACTTTTCTGTGCACACATGTGACAGGAGAACGGACCAGGGGCAGGCAGACAGCATTGGTTAATGGGTAAGAGCTTAGCAGCAGAACCAAGTACCAGCTAAGAGCCCCTGGGCAAATTACTTAACCCATCTGTGCCTCAGTTCCCCCGCCTGGAAAACAGGGGAGGACCATAAAGCCATCTCACAGGACGGTGACCAGAATTAAGTAAGATATGCAGCAAAGGTCTGAGCATACTACACCTCTGCAATAGACTTATTATCACAGCATTATTAGTGTCGCCCTGTGGTTTCAGATAAATGAGAACTCAAAGTTTATGCTAACTGCAGGTATTTGCGCTTTTGCAATCTGGGACACTAATATCACTTTACTCTTTCTAGTACAACATTAGGGGCATTTGTATTGTTCTAACCTTTGTAGTACATTTAAGTTACGTATGAAAAAGCTTTTTCCTTCCAGATATATTGGTTTCTCAAATGCTATAATCTCCATGTATGATTGGAATGGATGTCAGGTGAAATACGGTGTTATCAGTTATTTTCTCTAAGTCTATGCTCTACTTTTATATCCAACCTTAGTCCCACCTCCTAGGAGCCACTAAATGAGCTTCATCTTTAAAACCGAGACAAAGTAAGACAAATTTCTAACTAGTCTATTATAACAAAATTAATATTTTTCGTCTGCTATCTGTCCATTTCTATCACTTCCATTGGGACCTGAGAGCCTGTGTGCTTCTTCTGACAGAGATTCGAATATGTGCTCTGTCCAAATTTGCCACCTATTTTTTTAATTATCCTAATCTCAAAATGCTATTTTTTTAAAGATTCTTTTATAAAACAGGATTGCTAAAATTTTTTTAAAGTGCATTTTACAGGGAAAAAACAGCCTGGTTATTATTTACGTAATTACATTTTTGATACTCTACTCTGCTCCTGAAGAAGTTTTGGCTTAAATACAATTTCATAAAGGATAACAATTTACAATTTCATTTAAAAATTTATATATTTTTAAAGCAACTTTGTAGAGTTTTAGTTTAATTTCAGAAGTTTTAAAATAATATTTTAAAGTGTGTGTGAGTGCATGTGCGTGCATGTGTGTTTGCGTGTGTGCGTTTGCATCTGTCTGTCTGTCTGTCATGCATTTGAGGAGAAAACACTCTTTACATCTTGTTTTCCCTTGCTTTATAGTTTTCTTACAGTTGAAGTCTATGACACGATTCTTATGAGGGGATAGACATCTTTAGTAGAGTAATGCCTATTCTATTTTAAAGACGTTTAGGGAGAGATATTCTAAAATGCTCCCACCTCTATGAGTGCTTATTGCAAAGAACATTTACATTATATCTACCCTAAATCCCCTCTAGCTGCAATTTTAATTCATTTCCTTTTGTTCTGTCCTCAGTCGATATTAAAACAAAATAAAACACTCATCTGTACTTCCTTCATATCAGTGAGGACAGTGGTTAAATTATTTTATACTTCTTTTCTGAGATTAATCCTTTCCAATTTCACCCCATTGGACCTTCTAAAAAAGAAAAAAAATCCTCCATCGCTTTGTTGCTCCCCTATGGACTCTCTGATCCTCTCCACGAGTCTCTCTAGTTGTTCAAATCCCTGTAATTAATGCACACTAGCTGCTGCGAGGAAATAAATAATATATATAGGGTTCCAGTTCATAATTTGGTACCGTGGTATACCAGATGTCCAGAATGCCTTTATAAAACTGTTTATCTCCCCCCTCAGTTCTTGTAGGTATGGGCTCACACCTATATCCTACTCTGGAGAACTATCCATGGTTGATAAGAGCTGTCTTTCCAGAGGTGCGTAGAAGACGACTCCCTCCCTTCCCTATCAGTTTTCAGCTTCTTATTCTCTGGTATGATAAACTCTACAATGCAATTCACCTTCCAGAGCTCTCCACTCCCTAAGGAATTGGCTGAGGCTAGACTTCTCTTGAGATCTCACCTCAGTCCAGCTTCTTCCTCTGCCTCTCCTGCTTCTTCTCCTCACTCAGAGGTTTCTCCTGAAAACTATCCTTTAATAAATCAAGTGCACAAGAATCCCCGTCTCAGGCTCTGGTTGTAGGGAACTTGACGTAAGATAGTTGGTGTTAAAAAAAAGTTCACAAAGCCAAACATCAGTCAAATTAGTGACGTGCATTAAGTACTTTTTAAAAAATTTTTTAAGGACTTTATTTTGGACTTTCACACAGATGTGCCCTTGTGGAATCAGATGCATAATTAGCAAATGGATAAATATGTAATATTTAATAATTATATCAAGTTACAAAAGCAGTCTTAAGTATTAATAATTATATTTTTTAGAAAATACGATTATTAAATCATAGTCACAGACAGTGCTTCTAGTTAAAAAAGTGAGCTAATTCCCGACTCTCTCATCATCACTCACAATCATCAAAATCACCCAGAAAAATGAAGAACCTGTGGCTTCCAAGTAGATCATGGGTTTTCTAAACTTTGCAGAACTAGTCCAAGATGTGACTACCCTAAATTTACTTGCCAAGAGCTTTTTATGCCCTTAAAATTAGCACCTGGAAATTGTGTTATTTAGAATACACCAATTACCTAGATCTCCCTAAACAAATTTTTTTTTTTTTTTTTACTAATAAGTTTGACTTCCTTAAAGCACACATAGTAAGTATCCATCATAAAACTACTAGAAAATGTTTGAAATGCCATTAGACTTGATGGAAATATTCAGTTAATAAAATAAAAAAATCATGTTAAGCCACTATCTTTTTAAATGACACACTCAAAAAAATACGCTGAGTTGTTTCATAAACTTGATGCTCTTCAAATGCTTCTGCAAATTGCAGTAGTATTTTATATATTACTTCTTCGTAGCCTTTTTCATTTGAATCTTTATATCGATTACTGGGTTTTCTGGGTATGAATCATGGCTACACACTTCACAGTGGGAAAATGTCCATTGATAAGATCAAATTAATGTGAACAAAAACATAATGGATCAACTCGTCTTCTTCACTGAAACACAGGCAAAAATTTGCCCAAGACATGGATGTATCTGAGGGATGCACCCAGCTCCAAATGGCACACAGGCGAACTTCTCTCTTGATGCTGGGTTGTCCTATCAGAATTAAAGTCTAGGTACTTTATCCATGGGGCTTTAAGCCTCTGATTAACAGAAACGCAGCCCTGATGTCACGGAGGACCGTTCTCATCATGGTCATTACAGGAAGTCTAAATCTTAATGTTTCTTTTAGAAAATAATCAAGTAAATTTAGATCCTTGAGCTGGTCATAAGTTCAAGACTATTTTCTGCTCTAAATAACATTTTTTTTGAAGTGCTCTGTCTCTTCCAAAAAGAAGCCCATCCAGGCACTAGCGGCTCAGGATGCATGCTGCCCTGCCAAGAGCAGGCCAACACGCTTCCCACTTCTTCATCACAGCTTTACGTACAAAATCTAGTAAAGTTCAAAGAAGATTGTCAATTTTTTCTTCAACCTGTGTTTCTAGATTGCTATATAGAAAAAATTCTTAATCTCTTGTTTGAGCTCTGTCCTGAAACTAAGCAAAGGCAGCCAACCTGGTAACAGACAGGCTGCATGGCTAAAACCTCCACCCAAATCTGCATACACATTTGCCACCTTCTTCTGGCCACGTAAACAATGGCTGGCTGTAAAAATTGTGAGCTCAGAAAGAGCTTCAAACTTTTTCTCTCCCCAACTCTGAAAGTATTCCTTTGTTTCTTTTTCAATTATAGAAACATGCTACTTAAAGTGGACCATGTTAAGGCCACTTTTAAAATTTTCTTCTACTCCAGGAAAACTGGATTAGGCACATCATAGGCCACTCTCTTCCCAAGCACAGGTGCTGTCAGACAACTACAGACATCTCTGCATGCAGATCTTCATTTTTACAATTAAAAAAGCACTGCAGCAGTATCATTACCCAGAAGGTAAGTAAATGTCTTGCCTATCATGATAAAACTACTACAGGTCCATATTTCTCATATGCATTTTCTAGGAACTCAAATGGATTTTTCCCAAAAGCTATGGTATATTCAAGGAATAGAATCAAAGAGAAAAATGTATGGTGAACTTTTTGCTTCAGCTGGCAGCTAGGTAGGTGGCTGAAGGTGTGGTAGGGCAGACAGACCAGGCCGAGTGAAGGTACAGGCAGAGGTGATCAGCAGCATGGACGAGAGGTTGCCACCTGTCACTTGCTCCATCATTGCCCCAGCACTACTTTGGTCCACCAGAGATGCTGGAAGGTCAAGATCACCTCTGCTCTTGTGACTTGACAGAGCAAGAGATGCTAGAAGATGGGCATCTGGAGATGGCCCTGGCTCTCAAACCTAGTCCCATCTTCTACTCTCCTTAAGTTCTTCTTTTTTTCTTCTTCTTTTTTTAACATTGTCTCTTAGCAACAAATTAAATCTTTTTTGCAAACTATTGAGGTTCAGAGTCAGGTGTACTGAACTAAATTAAGTGTGCCTGTCAGTGTTAAGGTTATAGATCTTCAAAATTCTGCTTAATGATAAAGTTATAACTCATTCAATGGTTCCTATGATTTGAAAGTGTTCATTAGTTTCTAAACCTTCCTAATTTATAACTTGCCCACACAGTACTGAAACAACTGTTCAAACTGAAAATCCAAGAATCAAACAGTCAGTCTGCTGGGCAACAACAAAGCGGGAAATCTCTTAATAATTGCTACCATAAATGCTACTCAAGTGTTCTAACGGTTAATTAGGCTTCTCTTAGTGACTAAGTTAACTCTGAGGAAAAAATATGACACAGTAAACTGTAATTAATATCAACTTAGAAATCAAGTAAACGAAATTTTTCAGGTGTATCTAAAGTTTTAGAGTATTCAAAATTTAGTTTGTGGAAGTATCTTATATAACTGATGTTCATAATGATTGTAACATATTTAATTTTTATTTAGCTTTAGTTAATTTTTATCATTAATTACATTCTTATTGATCTTTTTAGAAGGCTTGTGAGCTTTGTTTTTTCATTAAACTGGTCCGAGTTCAAATATATTTGCCATTCATTCATTCATATGTTCAGTGAATATGGAAATTTCACCTTATAACATGAAATGCTTTTATTAACTAAACAGTATGGAATCAATTTTTTATCTGATAACATGAGTACCTGGTGACCACCAAAAGTAGCATCAAAATACCATTCCGAGTAATATATTTCTATATGCTTTGAGGCTCCTAATCTTAGTTCATCTAAGCTGCTTTCACAAATTACCATAAACCTGGTGGCTTATAAAACAACAGAAATTTCTCAGTTCTTGAGGCTCATCCATGATCAAGGTACTGGCAGATTTAGTGTCTGGTGAGGACTTACTTCCTGGTTCTTAGACAGCCATCTTCTCGCCGTGTGTCTTTACATGGTAGAAGGGGTAAAGGGAGCACTTTGGAGCCTCTTTCATAATAATATCATTCATCCCATTCATGAGGGCTCCACTTTGGTGACCTAATCACATCCCAAAGGCACCACTTCCAGATAATATCCCTTTGGGCATTAGGATTTAACATATGAATTTGGCAGGAAGGACACAAATGTTTAGGCTAGACATTTTTAAATGTAAGGAGGTCAAGTACTTACAAATGTAAACCAAATATCTTCCCTCTTACCCTAGCAAGTGCCTCTTCGATGGTGATCATCTTCTCCTTGACCATCATCATCAGCTGAATCCGTTCCTCATCACTCATTGTTATCTCGCTTGCCACATAGCCCACATCTTCTCCTAGAGATCGAAGATAAGAACAGGAATGAAAACAAGAAAGATAAAGCAGAATGCCAATCTTGAAAGTTCGTCATCTAAAACTACAGAAGGATGTGATTCGGGGCACCATCCCTGTGTGCGTCATCGACAGAGCAGCAGGAGCCGTATTGGCCGCTTTGTTGGAAGCCAGTGAGCCCAGCTCTGTTGGGAAACAGGCACCAAACACAGCCATGGATGTTACCAGTGTAAGAGCAAATTCTCTAAAAGCTGAGCTTCTGTGATGGAGGATCTAGTGGAAGAGTTTTGGAAGAAAGCTGACAGCCAGTGAGAGGTGGGGCAGAGACCTAATTTAAAAACCCAGCTAGAGCAGACAAGCATTCCTTAGGCTCCTTGGCTGAGGGTCCCTATGTCTTTCCATTTTGAATATAAATGAGAAGAAAATACTTTTGCGAGGAGGGAGAGGAAGCCCTCTGCCATGACAGACAAAGGTAACGTGGCAGAGTCAGCTGCACCATACAACCTGCAGCCTGGGGAAACCCTAGATTCCTACCGAGCTGTCTAACTGCTATTGTTCCTCAGAGGATAAGGGCAAAGAAGTACAATCACAGATATGAAGCACTGTGAGTTCACTGGACGGAAGGACTGAACGTGTTTACATCAGAATGTATCACCGTCGTAAATGTTCCCAGATTGTGATGGGGAAGTCAACTTCCAACACGAAACTGAGGCAACCAGAACTGCAGAGGAAAACAGAATCCCCGTTACGTTTCTCCAGAAGTGTTTTTCTACAAAGCAGGCAGAATGCCGTCGCCTCTAAGAAACGTGGAGCCACATTAGCCTGTGAGCCTCTGGTCAGCGTGTGGAGAAAGATACGTTGGGGAAAGTGGGATGTCATATGCATACTGGGAATAAGCCTTTGTTCCAGTCCTATATCCTCCTCCTTCCGCTCGATCTTTCCCATCTATACCTTACTGGCTTCGGTATCATCAGGATGCTCAGTTGTGGCTTAATTTGCCCTTGGTGTAAGGGGACAGAGTAGAAAAGGCTGGTTGCCACACGTGCAGGGACACTTTGCAGTAAGGATCTACCTTGGGATTTATGTTCCTCTGTGTTTCCCCATCTCATTTCCATTTTGCAACCTATCAGTCCGGGACTATTGCTCGAGTTCCCGTCACCACACCCCTCTTTGCACGGGAAGAATGAGAGTGTGCTAGGGGAGGCGAAAGCCTGCTCGCTTGACTCGATTTACTGTCTTTGTCAACTCTAGTGGTGGAGCGGGTAACACCGAGTGGATTAAGTTTTAAAATCGATCCACGCGAGCTGCTCAGCTATAGGCTTCGTCCCTGTATCTCTCCATCCCCTTCCCTCTCGCTCTCTTTCTCCTTTCCTTTCTTCCTAAAAAAAGACTCTGTTAGAATCCAAGGTGTACGTTGAATCACAAGTGAACCTGGGTGTGTACCAAAAAGCAAACCTGGAGATGTTTAAGAATAACTCCCTTCGAGCAGGACACCTGAAAAAATAACCCCACCAAACATTGTCAAAGAATCCAGGTGCGCTACGGGCGTCTGTGCTGTGCGTGACCACTTTCCTCACGCCCACATGTATAAATAACGGGAGAAGCGCTCTGAACAGGGTAGGATGCTCAGGCTTTAGAAAAAAAATCAAGTCGTGTCATTGGTGAGCAACTAAAAATTTTCATCTGACGATCACCTCAGTGAGTGGACCAGACTCTGCAAGTGGCTTTGTTTCCGTTTCCTCTCTCGATCCTGGGGGAAGCAGAAATTACGTAACTGGGCCTCAAAAGGATGACATGTTTACTTACTATATAAACAACAACAAAGACACAGCCCAAAGGAGGGCAGGACTCCCTTCACGAAGCAGCCCAGGCAAACTCCCATGATGTCAGACCCTTAGCGTGTTTCCAGGGACAACAATCCCCTCGCTGTCCCTGCCACAGACAAGTGTCAAAAGTTTATAACACTGCAAAGGCCCCAAGTGGCGGGAAAGCGGGAAGGGTCCAAAGTCAACAAATGGTAAGCCCTTTTAGGGGAAATTCTGGCAAGTAAAGGTCTTCCTGAAGTTTATGACGAAGAAATTAAAGATTTGGTCTTTGTTGGCAGATCTATGAAAAGCCTGCCAACTCTTCCCATTTTGTTTTCTTTGATTAAAAAACAAAAAAAATTCCCACTGGGATGAAGTTTTAAAGTAATGATAGGAATGTCAGAAATGCCGAACATTCTATGGGCACAAGCATGCAAGGAGTTACTCAAACTTGCAACATTCACTGACATTAGAAGCACAGGATTCTTCACATTTGAGAGCTAAAAGGACCTACTGTCCGCCAGCTGTGTTTCAGTACCTTTTGAAGTCTGCCTCATTATTCCTTTCTGGTTCTTTCGGAAGTTCTGCCAGAAATACTTATTTTTCTTCTTCCAATCTACTTTTCCTTCAAAAAACGAAAGAAAAAAAAAAAAGACAAGCAAGAAATTCATTAATAACAAAAGTAGCCTCTTCCTTATAATTCAAAGCTTGTAAGAATACTTTGATTTCACAAAAAAACACAGCTTTTCTCTTTCAGTTTGTGAAAGACTTGGAAATGCCTATAAAGTCATTTAAAAGAAATGCAAATTTCCTGGTAGCCAAAAATGGTGCAGTAGGGATAAGATGAAAAAACAAGGAAACATCAAAAAGGCAGGCAAAACGTGCATTCTTAAATTCTTTTTGATATTTGTTTAGCTGGTATGTCTGATTCTGCCTTGTCTTGTGGTGTATTTCCCCCCTTTTGCTCTCAGTCACAATTATTTTAACTAAACCACTAATAGGGTACTTTAAGAAGTTAACTTTGTTTTGTTGTTATTCTTACTGCCGCTCTAACCCTTGATTTATTGCTGTTACCCAAGATTTAATGAAGAGGATAGAACGGCTGGCATGTCCTGTGCACAGTGGTTCCCAGGGCTGGTTTCATGTCTGTCATGAAACCATTTCTCTAAGGCGTGGAGCTCGCAAGGGTCTGTCTAGCTGTGGCGTAGGTGAGGCATGACTCCCACCTCTCTGGCATTCAGGCTACCTGGTGACCTACCTATACCTTACCCAAGGGACAATGACAAGGAAAGCAGACTGCCATGCTGCTGTAACATCTCCCAAATGTGTCCCTCTTCTTCCCATCCTTCTCAGACTGTTCTGGGTGAAAACAAATTCTCGTCATAGCTAGAGAGAGTTTTATTATCTGGCAGGGTTCTGATCATTAATCATATGTAATATCTTTTAAAAAGTAAAGGGAAAGGGGGCAAGTAAGTAAAATGAAAGGGTAGAGGAGTCCTTTAAATGAAATGAAGCAGCAGCACAGGTATCTGCTCTCACGTAGACATGGCCACTCAGAGCAGCAGCTTCGTCACTGCTTGGTGTCTGGCTGCCCCACGGCTTGTGGAAACAGAGCCCAGCAGAATGGGCACTGTTTGTGTCCACAGTCTAGACTGGTGGTGCCAGGCAATGCTGCACAAAACAGACATGTGGAAACCCATGCTAGAAAGGGCATCTTCTGTCAAAATGGGATGCCCTCGTTTAAGTTTTGACAACCCCCTGAGCTATGAGAATGGAACCAGAGACGCTAGCCTGAGACTGCCTATGTACTCAGAATCGTGAAGGCAAGTCTGATAGTGTCTGCTGCTTTTGGGTTAAACACTACAGCAAATGTCAGCCATGAAAGGTTAAAGCAGAAGTAGGATTATGGCTCATTCAGCCTTTCTTTAGGGCAATCTGGGCATATAATGTATTTCTTTGACTATAAGCTACATTCTCCCTTCTCCCATTTTAATGTTTTGAAAGGGAGGTGCAGCTTAAAACACAAAGGATAATAGCTAACATTTATTTAGCACCTACAACATGCAGGCACCTTGCTATCTAATGGCATATCTTATCTCATACTTACGCTGAACATATAATGTATTACTGAACATATAACGTATTACCGTTCCCATTTAGTGGATTACAAAACCAAACCTTAGGTAACTGACTTGCCCAAGGTCATAACTATTAAGTTAGCAGAGTCATGATTCAAATCCAAATCGAAGCCTGCTTTGAGCACTTATGCTCCTAAATCCCAATTACTTCGCCAGGCTCCCTCTGAACCGAACAGAAAAGGTTACTAAATCAAGAGTGGATTTCGCAATCAGGAAAATGTGAAATCTACAGCACCTTCAAGGTACATAATTATTGAATCAAAACTTCCAAATAGAAGGATTTATGAAGAAAATGATCAGGGATAGGCTCAAGAATTTTCACTGTAGCATCATTTCTCTGTGATAGAGAAAAAACTAGAAATAAATGCTCAGAAAAAGCGACTGCTTGATTAAATTATGGCACATCCAAAAATGAGCGGAATATTATGCAGACATAAGAATTTTACTACAAAGGATACTCAATCATGTGGGAAAATGCTCAGGACATACTCAATTGAAAAAATATATAAAATAGTATATGGACTCTGAACCCTATTACTATTTTTTTAAACCCACACAAATACAGAAAAAAACAAAAAGAGAAGAAAGCTGTACATTAACATCTTAACAGCATTTATTTCAGGGTGCAAGGCTGCTTTGCGGTTTTTGTATTTTCATATGTTTATGCGTTCTATAAAGTATTAAATTAAGTAGTTAAATCAAGGAAAGTGGTACTGACCTACAGAGCCGTCTTCCGAGTTTGACTTATGAAGAGGGTTCCTAGAAAAGAAAAACGAGCCTGATTACCAGGGAGCTCTGCCTCCACGGGAGAACTGACCACCCCCTCGCTGGGTAGACCCAGCACTGATGAGACTTAGCAGAACCAAGGAAATTTTTATAGGCCTTTTCTAGCCATCAGCTGCCTTTCTAGAAACAAACGCATGAACTGTTTGTCAACATGAAAGACTCACTCCAGGGTAAGACCTATATTAAATGAAGCGGGGATGGGCTTCACTAGGTGATCGCTGAAGCACCTGCCATGGATGTGAACTATTAACCGCAGGTTAAGTTACTGTCATTGAGAAGTCTCTTGTGTAAGTGGGAAAAAGAAATAGTAATAACGATATATAGACCTGGCACCACAAATGTCACCACAAAAGGCCAGAAGATGAGTAAAGTGGTCAGCTGTAGGAGAAATAAAGGGAGTGAGGTTCCCCAAACAACAGGGGCCGGATGCCCCAAACAGAAGGGACAGCCAGTATGCAGCTCCTCTGCCAGCTGCTGGCACTGTCTGTCTTGCTACATCTTCCAATGTTCAAAAAGAAGCCAAAACCTGCATCTTTTCAATGAGAGCTCCACATTTTTAAGTGATGGCAAATAACTCAATGATTTTTAGAATGTGTCCAAGTTAATCAAGACATGTCTGGGCAGCAGATTTGGCCCAAGCCCTGCCCCACTCTGGCTGCTGGTCTGACCGCGGATACAGATAAACCCGAATAACCCTACATGTGAACACAGCCCCAAATCAAGTAATTAAGCATTTCTCCAAAATAGAAATACTCAGGTTTACAATTTTTCACTATTTTTATCTACTTCCTTCAAATTTTCATACATTTTGAATAATTTATGCTCAGGTTTGCACTGCAGATCTCTCCATTTTCTAAGTGTCTCTACTAGACATCACTTGCATTTCTCTAAAACGCCACCAGATGGTACTGTAGATTCTTTATTTATCTTGCTGTGGTCAATGGGGATTTTATTTTCAAAATTTCACAAGTTTGCCATCTAAATACTGGCCAAAGAATAGCAAGCTGATGTTTCAAAGGCATGAGAGACTCCCCGATTCATCAATTTGAAAATGACACCGCATAAAGTTTAATTTGGATGCAGTGAATTGTCCCAGCAAACAGGAGCTGGCAGAGCAGCGATGCAAAATGCCATCTCCTTTCACCTTGAGACTGATTATAAAATTCGCCCAGCGGGAGCAAAGAAAGACCAACGATGAAACCAAATTCCAAATTTGGATGGCAGCAGGTGGAAGGGGTCATTTACTGATCTCCTAGTGGAAGAAATTAATGCTCAGAAGTCAGTTCCAAAGAGGCCTCCTAGTAATACATCCTTCTTCCAGCAAGACGCCCCAGGCCTGAAGACAACAGCTCTGGAAGTGGGTTGTCAGCCCTTTTCTATCCATCACTTTCATTGTCAAGAGAGTAAAAAGGATGAGAATTTTAGCGTGGATTTCAATGACTGGGAAGCAGTAACAACATTCTGTTACACTATGAAAATCTATTTAACCATTTAATAATTATCAAGTTCAGCATTTAAAGTCTCTGAACTCAATCTTAGTAAGTACATTTTCATCAATAACTCCTACAATTAGACCCCAAAACTGTTTACGTGTAAACATTTGTCTCAAGATCCCTAAACTCCTTTAGCCCTCCCCGAAGGCCAAATTCATAAGGGATTTATGAATTAGATCAAAAAACCAATTTAAGAGACAGCCATCTCTAGAACTTAACCAAATCCCTTTGTCCTGCCTTAGTCTTCAGCAAATTCTACTTTAAGTTGCTTCCTCCCTTTGTTTCCTTTCTTTTCCTCTTTCCAAAATACCTCCTTCCTTGCCTTCCATTCATTCATTCGATTAATATTCATTCAGCCCCCATTATAAGTCTGGCATCCTCGGAGGCACTGAGAACAGGGGTAAACGAGATGGGTAAGATTCCTAGTTTCTTGGAGTCAGAATGGGGGAGAGAAGCAAGGTGGGGAGGGGGTGCACGCAGATCAAGAAGTGGGGGGAAATTCGGACGGGATGGACAAAAAAGTCCTCCCTGAAGAGGTGACAGTTGAGCGGAGACCTAAATGATGAGTTGACATGACAGGTGGGCCCCACATGGGGAAGACTGGGTAGGGAAGAGCAGAGGGGGGGACGCATGAGGTCAGCACTGGTCGTGTTAAGTGTGAGGTGGTGACTGAGCTCTGTGGAGATAATCAGGGAGATTGTTGGCTATGTGAGTCTAGAGTTCAGGGGACTTGCTGAGGACAGGAGATAGACATTTGGAAGTCACTTGCATAGTGAAAGCCAGGAGACCAACTGAACACAATGAGGAGAAGCCACCTACAGTCTGAGTTCAAGGGCAGTCCAATCTTTAGGAGTCAGGAAAAGAAGGTGAAGTAGGCCATAGGACTAAAGGGGAGTGGTCAGTGAGGAGAAGGAAAACCATGAGAGGATTCCTTTTATCTTTTCTGGCTAGGATAATATTACAATCAATTTCACACAAATTATATTACTGTCTCGAAGCCATATACGGTGAATTCGAGGTTGCTTTATTTTCTCTTCTATTGAGTCTACTGCATCACAACGGAGAATCTCAGAAAACTACAGAGGGAGAAACTAACGAAGCTCAACATGAACTTATTCACATCCCTTAAGAATGCCACCTTTGACAGAAGACCTCACCTTGACCCTCTCATCACAGGACAGAATTATCACAACGACCTGGGAGTGATGACTTGCCAAGGACACAGAGCTGGGCAAGGATTTAACTAGGTTTAGAAGCCACGTCTCTGACTCCGGAGTTCAATGCCTCGTCCACTTCATCATACTGTTTCTTATTTGTGTAACAGAAATTCACATTATATTACATATTGGCCCTGTTCTTGCGTAAATTGCCGGAACAATACCCAGAAGAATTGTGAGGATAGAGCATGTTTCCAATACTAAATTTGAACATGGCCTGTGGGTTTATTAAAACTAAGTATTTCAACAACACTTTTCATTTGATTGTGCTGCAATTACATGACCCTCTCGTCTACTCATTGAAGGAAAGGAGGCCAAATCATTTGGCTCGAACTCATTTTTCTTCTTATGTCTATTTATATACAAATAGTCTAAGGTACCTCCAGGCAAAGACAAGTCTATCTCATTGTTACATACTTAAGTCTGGGCACACCAGGAAAGCAGAAGGAAAGCCCAAGCACAAAAGAATTCCTAAAATAGACTTCATGTTTTTGTTTTGATGGACAGTCCAGAAACTTCATTATAACCAAACAGAAAAAATGAGAAAAACTGTTATAACCCAATTTCTGAGATAGGAACATGTGTTATACGTTACTGGAAAACCTATACTTAAGAGAATTTTAAGGCTCTTTATCTTGAGTC